AAGTGCAAGAAATAGCTTCAGAATCGATTCCATTTAAAAAAGATCTTTCTATTAAAGATATTACATCCAGACAGATGGCTCTATCTGCTGTTAATTTTCAAGATTTCTTTAAAACCTTTTTGCAGATAGTTATGAAGCCATTTTGGAAAAAGCCAGACTCTCCGTCTCAACATAACCTTATGAAAAAAAAAAAACTCACTCTCAACATAACCTTATGAAAAAAAAAAACTCACTTTATGGTTATAAAGGTTTAGCCACCATATCTGGCCCCATGGACGAGTTTATTAGAGAACGCTATTAGTGCCTGAATTGAGCTTACGAAAACATACATTCCTAAAAACGTTTCTAAAGCGACAAGAACTTTACCACTGATGGTCTCACTTGCTGGTGAAACCATGAGTAGAGTTTTATGTTCCTCTAAAGAGAACGAAAAGAGTAAAAAAAAAAAAAAAATGGATTCAAAATGAGATTGAGTAGAAATTCGATCACAACTAGATGTCACAAGATTGAACAAGCTTATAAATATTCAAAGTTCTACAATTTGGCCTAAACAAAGACCCAAGCATGCCAATTCATACCCGACTGACTTACTTGGGCACCATTCTTTTCTATCTGGACTATTGACCTATTTTAGCACCTGCAGGAGAAGAGTGCTGGAGAATGACATGACTTTGGGGTGAGGTTCAGACATGGGCCTTCTTTTTCCTCTTCCAAAACCACATCTAATTCCTTTGTGACAACTGTCCTGGATAGGTCATCAAATAGTTTTCTGATCAGAAGAGAACCGAAGGTGTTGAGAGAAAGTTTTTCGATCTATTCACTCGAAAGTCAACGTCTCGAAGGCAAAGGGAGAAATAGTAAATGTGGGTTATTTGAGCTTAAGAAGACTGACTTTGGAAGATCAATGTTTTCTAAGGTAGTTTCTCCATCGTATAAATTGCCTTCTCAGCAGATGACAACAGGAGAATCGTCTGGAATCAGTGCCTTGGGTTCGGCCAAAACACATTAACAATAACAACAGATGCTTCAGATTAGGGCCGCGGTTTTAACCTTCAGAACGGCCTCTAGTTTTACCAAATGGGCAAACCAATTCCTACTCAAAAATATAAAGTACAAGAACTCCAGATCGAATTCGCTCTAGAAGACACCACAATATTCAATCAATACATCATTTCAAGCTATTCAGCAGCATTACATTATATCAACCGCCAAGGGGTCTACTCGTTCTTCAGAGACGCTCCTGGAAAAAAGCAGCCCAGAAAGTATTTTTCTGAAGGTTTCTTATCTTGTGGGAGAAGAGAACTCGTGGACAGATGTTTTGTCCTGCAACAAGGCTTCAATTAAGAACTGGCCACTGTCAGATAATATATTTTTAAAAACTGGTAGATCAGTTTGGACTAACTGAAATAGACCTGCTCGCTTCCCAATTCAACAAGACCAACTTCTTCCCTGCCACCCGGTAAAAGGAAAACAGTGTTATTTAAATTTGCTATATATGTTCACTTATGTATTTTATTTTTTATTTCCTTTTTTTCAGGAAGTAGATTTCATGTTACAACACGAATGACATAAAGCATTCTACACCCCCACTGCACGTCATAAAAATAGGTTTTTCATATCGTCAAACCTCTTAAAAATACAGTTTACAATTCATACACATTCTTACATAACTGTTTTCTAAATGTTCCCATAGTTGGCTAAATTATGGTGATCTGACCAAGCTGCATGTCTTGAACCATCCATTTCAGTTGCAACAGCATTGTCACTATTCAGCCTGTAGTTTACTCCACCAATGGCTGCCCCGCAATCAGGGCACTTGCTTGACTGCCGAGCTCCTCCGCATTCTGTGATGCAGTACACATGGCCATTGGGACATTTATACCAGTGGCCTTGTTTTAACCCCATGGCCTGCAGGATCATCAGCCTCTCACTGTTGCTTATTCCAAGACCACCAACATACGTTTCTCCCTCCTTCAGGAGCTCTTTCACTTTATTTTCAGTTAAGGAATCAAATTTAATTGTTGGACACATAATCTTCTCAATCTTTGCTACAATCTCAGTAAGGGCGCTGTTACTACTGCTCTTACTCTTTTCCAGTAACTTCCAATAAGGTGGTAGGATCATTAGTCTCTGTAGCTCGCAGATTACTTCCTCCATCGTTTGCGGTGCAACAATATGCTTTTCTTGCATCACCCGGTTAACAAGTACTTCCACTCTGCGTTTCAGTTTCGTCATGTGTGGTGTAGCTTGAGCTTCTGTTCTCCTGATTAGTGATTTATACACATTCACAGTTTCTGATTCTTCAGAGAGAAGCTTGGTGCCTTTATTAAGAACTCGTGCCTGGAACTCGAAGAGACTAAGTTCCGCTTCATTAAAGTGTCGTTTCTTGTTTTTCGAGACACTCATACCAAGTTGTGTCTGAAGCTTTCTAACATGGTGAGAGAAGAATAAACCCATTCCAGGAGCTGCCAAAAGAAAAGATAATCTATTATGTAATGCA